CTAATGAAAAAGTAGATCAGTTATCTTCTAACGATGATGCCACTACTGAGGAGATTGCAGCAACTTTAAAGGAATTATCTGATGCTCTTAAGGTAGAATAAATGTTTTGGAAGCAGAAGTGTAGGGTTTTTTGGCTACGAGAAGGAGAAATGAATACAAAATTCTTTCATGCTCTCACGAAATAGAGAAGGGCAAGGAATATGATTACACAGCTTTTGGATGAGGATGGGAATGTGGTACATGATGAGGAGGGACTTGTAGCCATTGCTACAAATTATTTTAGACATATTTTCCAATCATCAAATCCCGAGGACATAGAGGAGGCATTATCTGAGGTCTCTACAACCATTACACTAGTAGACAATGAAATCTCACAGCACCGGTTATTGAATGGGAGATCAAATTGGCGCTTTTTGCGATGCATCCACAGAAAGCTCTAAGGCCAGATGGAATGACTGCGCTTTTTTACCAAAAATTTTGGGTTATTGTAAAAGAGGATTTAACTCTTATGGTTAATCAATTTCTGTTTGAAGGTACGATACTGGTTTAAATGAAACCAACATATGTCTCATTATGAAAGTTGATAAGCCGAATCAGATGAGTCAGCTACGCCATATCAACTTATGTAATGTTAGTTATAAGATAATCTCTAAGGTCTTATGCCAGAAGTTAAAAAAAGTTATACCAGATAGAATCTTAGAGACCCAGTCAGCCTTTGTTGCGAGGAGGCAGATCTCTGATAACATTATGATTGCTCAGGAGATGTTCCATGCTCTACGAACCAAAACCAGTGGACGTAATAAGAGGATGGCAATCAAAACAGATATGAACAAGGCGTAAGATAAAATGGTGTGGTCCTTCATTGAGACTACCATGAAGAAGATGGGTTTTTCAGAAATCTGGATAACCTGGATAATGCGCTGTATATCATCAGTTAAGTATAAGGTCTTTATGAATGGTCAGCCAAGAGGGAATATTGTTCCATAGAGAGGTCTAAGACAGGGGGATCCTCTGCCCCCTTTCATTTTTATTCTGTGCACGGAAGCGCTCGTTAGCCTTCTAAATCATGCAGAGAATCAAGGGAAGATAACAGGGATGCGCATCACACGTGCGTGTCCTTCGGTATCTCACCTTCTCTTTGCTAATGATAGCCTGTTCTTTTGTAAGGCGGAGCCCTGTGAATGTGAAGAAGTAATGAAAGTGGTCAGCAAGTATGGACAAGCCTCAGGTCAATGCATTAACTTTGTAAAATCTTTATTACTCTTTGGTAAGAGGATTGGACATGATGTTAGACAGAAAATTAAAGATACCCTTGGGATTCAGAATGAAGGGGGAATGGGAACATATCTAGGAATCCCAGAGGATATCAGTGGGTCCAAATGCAATCTTTTTACATTTTTAAAGGATAAATTGAGGAATAAAGTTAACGGATGGACAGGTAGGTGGCTGTCAAAAGGTGGCAATGAGGTTATGATCAAGTCCATCCTACTAACACTGCCAACTTATGTAATAACCTGTTTTCTTCTGCCTTTGGAGATATGTGATGCCTTAGCTAGTGCCATTGCACAGTTCTGGTGGAGCTTAAACCCTCCAAAAGAGGCATACACTGGTCAACATTGGACAAATTATGTTTATCTAAAGAGGAAGGTGGATTGGCTTCAGGATGATCCATGAATTTAACATGGCATTGCTAGCAAAGCAGTTATGGAGGCTGGTTCAATACCCAGATTCTCTGGTTGCTCGTGTTTTGAGAGGTCGGTATTATCGATTAAGCTCGCCGTTGCATCAGCTTACTGTTAGTAACCCATCATACGTGTGGACAAGTCTATCGGCGGCACGAGAATTACTTTTACTGGGAGTTAGACAAAAGATTCATTCGGGGTATGAGGTGAAAGTATGGGAGGATCCTTGGATTCCTACTATACCAGCGAGACCGGCGTCCCCATCTGCACTGGTGTTGCATCCAAACATGAGAGTAAGCGACCTTATTAATCAAGAAACTAAGACTTAGGATGCGACAAGACTGGAAAACTACGTAAATGCTATTGATATACCTCTCGTAAAGAGTATGTCAATTAGTTCTACACATCGCAGGGACACATTTTGCTGGAGCTATACAAGGAATGGCCAATATACAGTCAAATCTAGATATTGGGTTGCACAGAATATTTTAAAGAAGGAAGAGGTGGCTGTAGTTAGTGAACCTAGTATCACTAAACTACAAGCACAAGCTTGGAAGGTGCGGGCTCCCCAAAAGATGTGCCATCTTATAGTGGCAACTAATAACAGGTCATGTGGCTGTTATGAGTACCTTAAATTATAGGCATATAAGGTGTGACAATTACTGTCCACGCTGTGGAGAACCAGGAGAATCAATTACACATGCCATTTTCCTGTGTCCACCTGAGTTTGGGCCTTATCGTCGATGCCTACTAGTCCTACATTGTTCCCACTTCAGAGCACATATGCGAACATGGATTATCTCTTTTGGACGAAGAACGCCATAGCAGAACCGGATTTAGACATGGATCCTTATCCTTGGATTATATGGTATATTTGGAAGGCTCGGAACGACAAATGTTCAAAGGGATTGATAGAGATTCATTGGAGCTAGCCCGATATGTAGAAAGCGAATGTAAAGCCTGGTTCCAAGCCAATGAACAAAGTTCTTTGGCCTCTCAAGGAAACATGGATGTCGACATCCAGGCCATAAGTCTGGGGAATATCTGTATGGTGGATGGCTCTTGGACCTCTACAGCTCAGTTCAGTGGATGTGGATGGGTCTGGAATGATAATATGGGGAATAGTCAGTTAATGGGTATGCGTAATTTTGATAGAGTGGAGTCTGCTTTGCACTCTGAGCTGTAAGCACTGCAGTGGGCAATGGAGAACATGCTTCAACATTCGCCATGTCAGAGCTTTGGGACGGACTGCAAAGAAATGATTTCAATGCTCAGGAATCCACAGGATTGGCCAAGCTTCTCAACGGAACTGGAAAAGCTCACGATGTCGCGGATTTGCTTTCTAGATTTTAAGATTTTCTATGTTCCTAGGACACAGAACGGATTTTCTAATTCCCTAGCTAAAACTGCTCGATCATTCTATCGAGAATTGATATATGTTGGTTGTTCTATTCCGGTGATCTGGATTCCCAAATCATCTGAAGCTTGAATAATAGATCAGCTGTTCGTTGTCAACAAAATAAAAAATTATGTATCTATATATTTTATTATTATTATAATGCACTGTAGTCATTCTACAATTGTTCTGTATGTTACAAGTCAAATTAATTAGTCGTCTCCAAAAAAGATAAAAGAACATAGTAAACGTTACATAATACACTTAACTGAACCTATAGTCCGAAATATAATATACATTCAAATTCATCCTGCCTAACTATAACATTCAATTTCAATAATTAGTTTTAACAGAAATTAATAACTTACAAAAAGTTAATGTAACGTTTGGTTTAAACCAAATGCAAAAGTCACAGAAATAGACCAGATAAAATATATGGATATGCAAATCTTAAACTTGTAAAGCATTTATTTAGTGGATGGATCATGGACAGCGAAAACAGAACATAGTGGATATATATGGATTTGGATGGATGGATTAGGAAAAAAACAGTTCTTAGATCTAGGAACAAAGAAAATTGTATGTCTTTTTTCCATATAGAGTTGAAAGCACTGATATGGACGATAAGGAGTATGATTCAGAATAGCACCTGTCAACATTTTGGGACGGACTGTAAGAATATTATGACAATGATTTAGAATCCGAAAAACTAGCCAAACTACTCCACAGAAATAGGAGAATTCGTTTTATTGAAGGATAGACTTCCAGACTTTAAGATTTTCTACCTATTAGGAATGCGAAATCAGACTGCAGTTGGTTTAGCTAAAAGTTATTCGTAATTTTTATCGTCAGTTGTATTTTGTTGATTGTTCTATTCCAATCTGGATTCTCAGACCACTTCAAATTTAAGTAATAGAATAGTTTTTTGGTTATTACAGAAAAAAAATAATAATAATAACTTGAACGTTTCCTCTACGGTGGATACAGAAGAAAACGACATGAACGTTTTCTTTACGGTGGAAAGACTACCACACAAAGTTCAGCAATTTGGCAATTGGCATAAACGGAGTTGACCAACACGTTTACTTAAATTTTGAAACATCAGAACAGTACGCATATGTTTTAAGTACGTCATCAAACAGTGAATAAAATACAGAATATAATTTTTTAATATTTATTAAGCCATTTTATCTTCAAGATTTAGACAAAACCTATTTTCTAGAACATAAATATCAGATACATACCAAAATAAAAAAAATCTTAGTATTTGGCATCACGTTAAAATTTCAGTTTTTGATATCCACGAAATAGTTTTGAAGTTTTGGTGTCCATTTAAGATAATATCTGTTCTGTTTTAATATAGAACACATACTTTCATCCCTACCATGGAATCAATAAGGGAAAATCTCCATAATATCACATTTTGAAATTTATCATAAAAGATAAAAGTAGCATTTCATAGGAAATTTCAAAATAACATTTATTAAAAAGATAAAATGATTAAATAGTTCCAAAAGTTAAACCTCATTTTATCCCAAATCGTAATTACTAAATAATAAATCTAAATTAATCACTAAATTATAAATTCAAATTTTATATAAAAAAAAATGTCTTTTAACTTTTAGTTAGATTTTTTTTTCCTTTTGTGTGCTATTTTTGAAAAAAAAATGTAGTTTAGAGATATTTGAAGATATTTTGCAATAATGAAAGAGCCTCTCGAGAACAAAGATAGATACAATTAACGAATTATTCTATCCTGCAAAAGAATTAGGAAGCATATTATTTTTCTATTATCATGTTCAACTTAAAAATGTATTTGTTGTATGTTTACATTCTTGTAATATGTTAAACCTCTTTTAATATTAATAAAGAAAAGAGCCCTATAAATATAACAATGCTCTAACTCTCAAGTACAAGAAAATAAAACATTTTGCTATCTTACATAAAAAATATGGGGAAATTCTCAGCTTTGATGATAATCATAGCCTTTTTCCTTCTTTTTGTCATTCAAACTCTCGAAGTTGTTAATGGCCAGTGTTACGGAAGCTTAGCCGGCAACAGCAGCTACGCTCAGAATCGCCAAAATCTCTTCTCTACTCTTTCCAATAAAGTCCTCACTCACGGCGGATTCTACAACGCTTCATTCGGCCAATATCCAAACAAGGTTTATGCTCTTGGACTCTGCGCAAGAGGCTACGAGCCAAAAGCTTGTTCCAATTGTGTCGAAAAATTGACCTTTGAAACACAAAAGAATTGTCCAACCACCATGGACTCGTTCGTTTGGGGCAGTGACGAAGAAGAGCGTGTTTCTTGTCTCGTACGTTCCTCAAACCACTCTTTTGGGAACCTCGAGCTTGAACCTCCTGTTATCGGGGTAAGTCCAGATCATATCGGGCCATTGATAAATATCACCCTGTTCATGCTACAATGGGAATACACGGTAAATAAGACCCTCCAGGCTGCCACAAAAGCTAATACTTCCGTGGCACATAAGTATTATAGTGCCTCACACGCAGAGTTCACAGCATTTCCGAATGTTTACATGCTGATGCAATGCACACCCGACATAACTTCCCATGATTGCAATCAATGTTTGGAAGCTTGTCTGAAATACTTTAGAGAACAGTTTCGGGGAAGAACAGGGGGCATGATTAGTTTTCCGAGCTGTTTTTTCAGGTGGGATCTGTATACTTTCCATAATGCTTTTGTTAATGTAACAAGATTTCCTGCACTTCCTATACATCAGGACAAGGAGATCTCTACGCCAGATAAGAAAGGTAAAAGAAATGATTAAGAGCATTGTCAAACTTTTTTAAGTATAATAAAGAGGTTCCCAGACTAACAAAGGCTCAAAATTTTCAGGAAGAAGCATGCTATGGGTAATTATCACGATAATTGTGGTTCTTACTTTCATTAATGTTTTGGTATTTATTGGTTTCTACAAAGTCAATGCTCGGAAGAGAAAAATAAACAACGAAAAAAATGGTAATTGCACCTTGTTTCTTGCTTCAGTCAACCTTTCCTATGACTTATATGTTTTTCATTTTAGTTGGTGGTGCAGAATACTCTGATTCAGATGGTCAATTTATGTTACGGTATGATCTTGGTATGATCTTATCGGCAACGGATGACTTTTCGTCTGAAAATAAGCTTGGGCAAGGTGGATTTGGTACGGTATACAAGGTAGTAATAACATTTTTTTCCTAACAATAGTATTGAGATCTGGGTCTTGGATGAGTAACAAATCTTGAGAACGTACCGGTTTCAGGGGAAACTACTTAATGGGAAAGATATAGCGGTGAAGAGATTAGCAAGAGGTTCAGAAGGTGGTATAGAGTTTAAGAATGAGGTTTCACTTTTGACAAGACTCCAGCATAAGAATCTGGTTAAGCTTCTTGGTTTCTGTAACGAAGGAGACGAAGAGATTCTTGTCTACGAGTTTGTCCCCCACTCAAGTCTTGACCGCTTTATCTTCGGTAAGACTTCGAAAGACCAGAGCCGAACCAAAACCCATTTATACAAATTATTTTAATGGAACTCCATAGTATAAAAGAGCCATAATATTTTAAAAACTTATATACTTAATTAATATTTTATATAATATTTGTATAAATTACAGTGTCTTTTTTGTAAAATGTATAGTAGTAAAAATAGTAAGTTTATTTTTAAAGATACAATGTTGTATTATATAAAATAATAATAGAATTAAAAGGTGTATTTTATTATTTATTTTATGGATTGTAAATAAGTTTTTGGACATGATCGGCTTTACAGATGCATTTTCTGTAGCTTTTTACAAACTCTTAGAATTAAAATGTATCTTTCAAATCTTCAGATGAGGGAAAGCGTTCGCTTCTTACATGGGAAGTGAGGTTTAAAATTATAGAAGGCATTGCGCGAGGTCTTGTTTATCTCCATGAAGATTCTCAGCTGAAGATTATTCACCGAGACTTGAAAGCAAGCAACATCCTTCTTGATGCAGAGATGAACCCGAAAGTTGCAGATTTTGGGACAGCTAGGCTGTTTGACACCGACGAGACTCGAGCTGAAACAAAACGAATAGCTGGAACCCGGTAAAAAAACATATCAATCAACTTTGAGGACATAAGAATATGTTCACCATCAACTAACGTTATTAGTTGCATATTTGCAGTGGATATATGGCTCCCGAATACCTGAATCACGGGCAAATCTCAGCTAAATCTGATGTATATAGTTTTGGTGTTGTGCTTCTGGAACTGATAAGTGGTCAAAGAAATAACAGCTTTGGAGAAGGAATTGCAGCTTTTGTAAGTTTCTTTATCAGTTTTCACGTATCTTCAATCCTATGTAGAAAGTAAGAATATAAATTTTATTTTAGGCATGGAAGAGATGGTCTGAAGGAAAGCCTGAGGTTATAATTGATCCTTTATTGGTAGAAAATCCGAGTGTCCAGATAATTAAGTTGATCCAGACTGGTTTGTTATGTGTTCAAGAGGATGCAACAAAGAGACCAACCATGAGCTCTGTAATGGTTTGGCTTGGCAGTGAGACCATCACCATTCCATCACCTAAGGCTCCTGCTTTCACAGAGAGTTATTCTCAATCTGAAGATGGTACAATGTCCATGAGCATTGTCTTCACGGAGTTGAGTTCTCGTTGAGATATAAATTGTTAATTTATATGTTGTTTTAAGGTGTAATAAATATTCTACTTGTACTTAACTGAAAAAGAGATCGTATTATAATGTATGAATAAATACACAATCCCAAGTTCGTGAAACCTCTACAGAGAATATATGATAGTATTATTAATACAGATGATTTACATTTTTTTTCTTTTGTAATCTCCATTAATCTTAACATGGCCCCTTCAAGACGGTAACTGAAGACTTGTGCTTTAGATCAATCTTGGTACGCATACTCATGGTGTTCGAACATTACGTTGGAAACTGGAAAGACAGTTGAAATCGTGTAACGTATAAAGCAACGTAATTTCTAAATGAAGGCCTTATCGTGAATTTTCAGTTAGACATAAGTATTCTATGAAGTTTGAACAAACTATTTTCTTTAAAACATTCCACGATTTGAGCTGATTATTTTTAAAAGAATCAAAATTTAGTCGGAGATGTGACTCAGTTGGTCGTAACCAGCAGTGGAGGAGCCAGAAATATTGTTAATTAGATTCATAATATATAAATTATATATATATATATATATATATACTATTTTAACAAAGTTCTTCTCGTGCAAACACCGTAGTCTAGTGGTTAAGGTTTAAAGGCTTCTACACCAGGTCTGGAGTTCGAATCCCAGACTATACAATTTCTACACCAGGAGGGTTTTCAATTCCCGGAGAAGGTGAATGGCGAATTATGCAGATTGGAGAAAAAGTTTACAAGAGATCTTTAGCATGGCGCAAGGCGTACCGTCAGGAATGGATCTCACAGGGCGGCTCAAAGTGATGCAATCAGACGTGAATCCGCATAAGGCAGGTAGAATTGTCGGCTGTAATATCGTCTATGTAATTTCTCATAGTTTGTAATGCATAATTATCCACAGTTAAAAAAACAAAGTTCTTTTCTTTTTACAAATTAATGGGGTCATGAAATTTTTTTTTTTTTTGTAAAACTAACTTAAAACTCCAAGGCAAACACAACACTAATATATTTTTAGCATTTTATTTGTCCAATCCATCCTAGAGTTTTTGATTTTTTATGAAAATACTATTATTATTATTTTTTTTTAAAAAATAAGTGTTTTACTCTCTCATCCTCATCTTCATCAATTAATCACAAAAATGTCACTAGCATCAATTCACCCAACAACTATGAACAACCAAAATGAAGCTCTGAATACATTTAAAAATGAAATTTACTCATTCATTCTTATAACTTATGCCCAAAAACTACATCTCCCTCACTATCTAGCTATATTCATCCAAAAAATCAAAGCTTTTTGTTTCTAAAGTTTTTGAGGGTCATATAGCCATCCAACCTCACGATTTCTGGTCATTAACGATTGAGTAGATGTTCTGGTGAAGTTGTGTGTGGTTGGAGAACTAAGCAAGTTTTCTCAGGGGTTGAAAGTATGAACTAAATTTTTTTCTCAGATTTGTTCTCTAGAAGACTTACGAGTAAGTCTTTATAAGACTTCTTAAGTCTTCATAAGTCTTCTGGTCAAATCATATGTTAATTATGCAATTGACTTTTTGTGTGGTTTTTAGATAAGACTGTCGTGGAAGTTTTCCAAATTTTTTTGTTGGCAAAAATAAAACTGAGAAGACTTACATGTAAGTCTTCTCAGATAAACTGGTTAGTTTTGCAAGTGACCAACCTGTGTCAGAAATTTGATTTTCAACAAAAGACTTTGGAAGACTTACCTAGAAATTTTCTCAACCTTTAAATTAAGTCTACTCGATATTGCAGGAAGTCTGCATAGGTTACTTTTATAATTGAAAATTTAAGCTTAAAAAATTTAATATAAATTGGGAGACTTTCATGTAAGTCTTCCGTCCGAAGACTTACCTAGAAGTCTTCCAGATAAGTCTTCTGCCAGAAGACTTACCTGGAAGTCTTCCAGATTTTTATTATGTGATTCTGGTCAAATCTAAGGTAATAAAAAAAGACTTACTTGTAAGTCTTATGGCGGAAGACTTACAGGTAAGTCTTCCAAAGTCTTCCAGCATATCGAGTAGACATAATTTAAAAGTTAAAAAGATTTACATGTAAGTCTTCCGTCGGAAGAATTACCTGAAAGTCTTCCGTAGAAAGTCAAATTTATGACACAAATTTGTCAATTGCAAAACTAACATGTTTATCCGAGAAGACTTACCTAGTCGTCTCAGGTATTTTTGAGAATTTTTATATTAGAAAATTAAGCCAATATTTACATAGGAAGACTTTCATAAAAGTCTCTTATAGAGGAGATTTCTCTGAAAGTCTTCCTTTACAAATTTTCAGTTGCAAAAATGATCTAAACGGAAAACTTACATGAAAGTCTTCTCCGGGAAGACTTCCAAGTAAGTCTTCTATGACAATGTATAATAAACTTTCATTTTCTTCAAATTTAAAATAAATTCTTAAGATTTTATTGTTAATACATGTGTTGTAGACAATATTTGGGGTCTTGAATGAAATTCATCACTTAATTGTGATAATTATGAGGTTACCAACCTTCATATTTTTTAATCTTTCTAGCTAATGATAGAAGATTTCCTTGGAAGTCTTCTCTCATAAGACTTTTGTTGAAGTCTTCCATATTAGTTTTTGTAAACTTGTACTTTTAAGAATGTTCAGTAATTTAAAATAATTTTTTTAACTTTCAAAATTGTTAAATAATTTCAAGAAGTATATAATGTGTACATGAAAATATAGTTAAAAGAGTTAACCAACTCATTATATCTTACTTGTTTATAATTATAAAATTTATTGGTTTTATTTCTTACAAGACTTTGTTGGTTTTACTTCTTAGAAGTTTAAAGTGATGAACAACTATTGTAAGTTAATGAGAAGAAGATGTTTATAGTTACAAATTTTATTTTTTTCGCAGAGTATGAGAGATCCAAAGATGAGAAGAACTATACAATGAGCATCATGTTCTGAATCTGAAGGCCAATGAAGTTTTTTATTTTCTTGATTTGTAAAAGTGGAAAACACTTTGTTAGCACATATCTTACATCTTGTATACTTTAATAATGTGAAGTAATTTTGCATAATAAACATATTTACCATATTTTTTTATTAATACTTTCCAAATGTACAAAAAATAAAATAAAATCACAACTAAAAAGTACATATATAAATCACAAAACAGACCACAAATAAAACTTTAAAGATAATTCTTCCACAAAAACAATCTTGGACACCATTTGATATAAGAGAAGATTTGTCATAATATTTCCAAGAAGATTTAATACTACGCCAAAAAACTTAAGATTACGTCAGAAGACTTAATACTACGTCAGAAGGCTAAAGACGACGCCAGAAGACTTAAGACGACATCAGAAGACTTAAGAAAACATCAGAAGACTTCTAGGAAAGTCTTCTGAAAATCTTCTGTAAGTCTTTTGATGTATGTCTCAGATCTGAAAAAACCTGAATATCTAAAAACGTTCAAATGACATCAAAACAGAGAAAAATTCAAAAAACAATGGTTTTAAGCTTAAATAATATCTAAAAAATCACATTACGTTGAGTCTATAACTTATTAGAATCTAACATATAATAAAACACAAAAATACATATAAAATGTTTTATAGATTTACCTTTAAATGAGTGAAAGATGACAATTATGTAATGAAAAATCTGCAAAAAGTGAGAGACACATAAAATGAGAAATTGATATAATTTTTGGTGTTTCATGTTTAAAGAAATTAAAAAGAGGTTAGAGAATTTTAGTTTAAAAAAAAGATAAGAACGTTGTACAACAATAGAATACTAAATGAAGAAATTCAGACATGAAAACTTACCAAAATGCTTAGATTTGTTGTGAAAGAGGAGACATGGAAGAAGACTATGCAAGAAGACTTAAGACGACATCAGAAGACTTAAGACGACATCAGAAGAATTAAGACGACGTCACAAGACTTAAGACAGCGTCAGAAGACTTAAGACGACGTCAGAAAACTTCCAGGAAAGTCTTCCAATGTCTGCCTCAGATTCGAAAAAAACCTGCATATCCAAAACGTTCAAATGACATCAAAACAGAGAAAAAAATTCAAAACAATGTTTTAAGCTTAAATAATAACTAAAAAAATCACATTATGTTGAATCTATAACTTATTAGAATCTAATATATTAAAGCCACAAAAATATATATCAAAAATTTATAGATCTGCCTTTAAATCACTACAAGAAAACAAAGCATTTACTAGGAAATTTTACTAGGAAAATTCTTCCTCGTAAAGTTACTAAGCATTTACTAGGATCTTACGAGGAAAGCAAATTTCCTCGTAAGCTCCTCGAAAACTTACGAGGAAATACTTTCCTCGTAAGACCTTAGTAAATTTACGAGGAGCTTACGAGGAAAAAGTACTTTTCCTCG